TGTGAATGAGTATTCCGCAGTCGGTAGCGCCCGACTGCAACGTTCTTACTTGTTCATATTGCACTCAATCTGAAAAGAATGAATATTAACTGGTTTTTCATATGCTGCCACAGATCTATCTAGCACTTGATCCACACGTCATTAATGAACAGATCTTTTGCCACGTACCTAATTTCAAGCTCTATTTAAGTTGAAGATCATCCTTACCTTACAGTCATATATCAGTGTATTTCCGCTTGCACCACAAAGAAACAAGTCATGTTATTTGAAATCATTACTTAACGTATAATTCTTTATTTATACTCTCTGCTAAATTGAGCAATTATTTTCTTAATTCATCAATTTAATTTCAATAAGTGTTTTCTTTCTTGCATTTAAGTGGTATTAGATTTTTCATTATTTGTTTCTGTTTTTGGTTTTTGGATTTTTCTTTTGTTTGGTTTTGGTTTTTAAATTTGTAATTTTTGGGCTTGCTAAAAATAATGTAAATTCATAATTACATACCTAGTATAAGTTTGTTATTGTATATTATATTATTAATTATTATTTTCCAATGCCCATTTTTCTTTAACTAACGCAAACTCATATTTGTCTAATATTCTGTGTGCTCATGTGTGTGTGGGGGGGTATATTTGTATGTGTGTGTGTGTGTGTGAGTATGGTTATGTATAGTTGTGCCTAATTATTCACCTTTATAAGTATTTATTATGTATTTATATAATTAAGATAAGTCCCCTGGTATGGCAATCCATAATTTTAAATGGTTATGTACACAACTATATATTGTTATGACAAATACTAGAACATATTGAATTAACTGTATCTATCGCCTATGCTCCGCCCTCAAATCAGATTGCAAATACAAAAAACTTGTTGGAAATGAATCAAAATCAAACCATCTGGTTCAGGGAATCGACCAATCCTCTCTGTGGATCCATCGATAGAGTATAGCTTTTCTTCTATCGGCTCTCACATTTTATTTTCTTTTGTTTTCCTTTTTTTTGTGTCCTTTATGATTTTGTCTAATTGTTTCTGTTCGGTTTTATCCTTTGGATTTTTGTTTTTGTTTAAATGTTTTCTTTTTGTAGTTTTTTATCATTCTGTGTTGTGTTTTGCTTTCAACTTTGTGTGTGATTATCATAAATTGTTTTGTTTTATTTTGTTTCTGTTTTAAATGAATTTTGTTTTGCTTACGCAAACTTCACGGTGTTTAATTTTTGCATTCAGTGAACATTAAAAATGTATGCATCATTAATTGGATTGGTTTCTGTTATTGTTATTGTTGTTATGAACTAATTTGTCGTTAAATTGCATAGTTAATTCATTGCGTGTGTATATTTAGTTGCACGGGCGTCAGTTAACTAAGTTGGGCTTCCAATTTCATTATTTACACATCTGCATTTGACTAATGCACACAACATTAGACTAGTTCGGCTCAAGTGATATGCATCCCAGACACTCCCCCGATCGAGAGTATCTCGGCTGTTATCCATTCAAACTCACAACCAGTTAACATCGTTCGTATAATTTATTTGTATTTTCTCGTTTGCTTTTGGCTTCAATTAATTTATTTTTCTATTTTATTTTTAAGTTTTATGCAATGTTAACGTTTTCTCTTTTGATTTTGAGTTTGCTACAAAATCGCTGCCGCGGCCTTTTCTTTTTCCTGTTGTTGTTGTTTTTTTTTTTTTTGTTTGGTTGTTTTTTTTTTAGAATTTGTTGGTAATCCATTTATTGTTGTGATTTACCTAGTTTTTTAAAATAATGTAAAAAATCTGCAAGTCGCATGCTCCTCGTTATTTAATGTGCCATAAAAAAATGTCTATGATTTTCTCTATATGTATTCATTCTTATATTTACAACAGTTATTGTTTTATCATCATCATCTTCGTCGTCGTTCCCGACTTCTTCTGCAATCGAGCCGTCATCGTCGATCTGTGTTGTTGTTGTTTGTTTGTTTTTTACTTTTATAAAACCTTTTTGGCAGTGCATTTATATTTATTATTCCGGTTTACCTATTTTTAATGATTACAGCTAATAACTACAAATTATATTAACTATATTCCTTTCTTTATGTAATTTATCTGTAAATTAATTTAATGATTAACTAACAGCAAATATTTACAGTTCTTCGTCATTTGTTTACCATTAATTTTGTATTGATTTATTTGTGTCACGCAAGGTACGTTCGATTGAATAATTTACTCAAATCATATATTTATGTATGTATGTATTCGTATGTGAGTAATCAATATATGTAAATTGTTTATATTTAAAGAAATTCAAACTATAATATTTCTATCAAATACAATTGGAAGACAGTTGTTGGGATCCATGCAATCAACAAAAATTGCAAAATGAACACAAATTTAAAAAAATAATAAGAAATGTAGGGAAAACTCAAACTGATCTTAATTTAATATGAATTTTGAAAATTTGGAAAATATAATATGTGTTTAATTTTCATTTGAGCAAAACGGCATATTGCTTATACATAAATTGCAAGCATTCCCTGAAGAAATTTGCAATCATAAAAAATCGCATATCAAATTGTAAATAATTCTAAAACAAGAACAACAACAAAAATCACTTTCCTATATGCAATATTTAAGATTAACTTACTGACTTAGTGGAATGCTCAATAGCTTTGCATTTGTATGTGTCTGCTACAGTTGTTTGCTTTGCTTGCATATGTTAATAATTTTGTAGTAGTTAAATAGTTAATATTTGTTGTTGTTATTCTTACTGCATTTGCTGAAACTCTAAATCTTGTAGCGCTCCTTCGACCACTTAACCCTAATAAATAATTATTTAAAGATGTTTAATTCTTCATTTTGTTTTTCTTTCCGCTTCATTTAAAACTATACTTTGGTAGTTGTGCATTATTACTTCCATTTGCTTTTTTAGTTCTTAGTTTTTTCTTTTTGTTATCTTTAAGTTAAATATGCAAATTCAAAACCTGTTCTTATCTTTAAGTTGAATATACAAATTTTCATACTTATCATGTATACGCACTGTTAGCTTAGGTATTTTTAAAATAGTCGTTGTTGTGGTTGTTCTTCTTGTTATTCGGTAGCTGGCTGCCGTACTCGAATGACTTAATATGCCTTAGTGTGAGTGTGCCTGTGTCTGTGTGTGTGTGTGTAAATGTGTGTGTGCGTGTGCCTGTCTGTATACCGCACAGTGTACTGTACAGTGTACTCAGCTTACCACAAATAAACATTATTGAAATCATCTTTATCATTTGGCAGTGTACAAATTTAAGTTATTTATTCATTTCGCGATCTATGTGTGTGTGTGTGTGTGTGTGTCTACGAAAAATGTTGAGTTATTGCTTTTAGAAAAGAGTGAGCTGAGAATGCATTCGAATGGTCCGTCCACAGCTAATCCTCGTCCAGGCTCTGCGATCGCCGCGGCTGCACCGGCCGCGACTTTGAGACGACCACATACTTGCGGCCAAAGTAGGGCGAATCTAGGGATGGGAATAGTAAGGCTGATCAGCAGGGGTCTGGCTCACGATCTCGGCTCACTTCTTGCGCAGGAAGTCTGTGTATTTGCGTGCTCGCTTGCGCACCTTCTTGAGGGCGTTGCCCAGCCGGAACTGGTCCTCGGCCAGGTCGTGGGTGCCATAGTGGAGCGTGCCGCTGCTGTTGGTGTGGGTGTGGGTGTTGGTGTTGGTGCTGGTGCTGGTGCTGTGATGGTCATGGTCATGGGCATGGGCATGGGCATGAGCGTGGGCGTGGGCGTGGCTGTGCATGTGTGGGTGCAGTTGATGCGCATGCGTGTACTGGCCATGATAATGCTGATGCTGATCGAAGTGGGCGTGGTGCATGTACCCATCGGCAGCAGGATTAACTGAAACCGATGCTGGCGACCCGGGCGACATGGGCTGCGACAGCAAGTTCTGCTCCGAGGCGGCGTCAAACGAGTCGAAGTGCAACGATGACGAATGCTCGCTAGTCGTGGAGCCACCGCCGTCCAGGTGCATGCCAGCAAACTCCTTGGGCAGCTCATCGATGGCCAGCGGCTTCTCGAAGTGCAAATTCCCGGACATGTTCGAGTAGTCGTAGCTGGGATAAGTGTAGGGCAGGTAGCCGGAGTGGTGCGCCTCGGAGCTCACCGACGCCTCGGTCTCCCGCTCCCGCTCCCGCTGCCGATCGCCCGCTCGATTGTTGATGAACTTCACCTCGTTGGCGTTCCGCTCCTGGCCGGCGCTGCCAAACACAATGTTGATGTTGTTGCTGCTGCTCGAGAGGTTGATGTTGCTGGGGGACAGCGGCTCCTGCTCCAGCGCCGCCTGGGTCCCACTCGCATTCTGATTCAGATTCGTCTCCTTGCTGGAGCTGGTGTGGTAGCTGCGCTCGTACCGATGGAAGCATTCGCCAGCATCGCTTGAAGCCGTGTTTGTGGTGTTGGTGTTGTTGTTCGTGTTGTTGTTGCCCTGCTGGAAGTTGTTCTTGTACTGGAACTCAAGCGCATTGCTGGGTTGAAACGGATAGTTCTTGGAATTGTTGAGCACATCGCCCGTCATCGGATTGCCCTTGGACAGGTACTGATGGATGTCCTCGCTGGTGATTTGCAGGTCCTGATCCAGATAGGTGTTGCACTGTATGTAGTTGCTGCAGCAGTTGTTGTACGGCTCCCCCTCCTGATCCTGGTGAAACAGTATGGTCGTCGACTCCTCGAACTCGCAGTGGTAGCTGCTGCCGCGTCGCTTCCGTGCCGCTGCCGAGGTGCTGGGCCTGTCATCGTAGAGGGAGCTCTTCCAGCTGCTGGTCTCCGTACTGCTGGTCAGCTTGCGGCACGGCTTCATTTCCGGCTGGGGCTCTTGCCAGGCCTCCATCTTATCCTCCGCAGTCGGCTCCGTTGGCTCAGCAGCTCCACCCACAGCGCCCTCCAGCTCCAGCTCAGTGGGCGACTTGCCATCAGCTAGGAAGCTCCAGCGAATGGGCGACGGCGAGCAGGCATACTCGGGCAGCTCGTTGCTCAGAGCGCCCTTCGAGCTGTGCCGGTCCAGCGTGGAGCTGTGGGAGGGCGTCACCGTGGCCTGCCGCTGGTCGTGCTCGACCAGGTTGCTCTCGTCGGCGATTTGCTTGGCTCGATCGAAGATGGAGGTGAGCGAGCCGAGCTGACTGTTAGGTCGACTGGCATTCAGGCCCCGCAGGGATATCGACGTGTAGCTGGGCTGGCGCGCCTGGAGGCGCTGCTGCTTGCGCATGGCGGCCGATGCGGACTTGATGGAGTTGTTGCGGCTCAGGGAAGAGCGCGAGCCGTACAGGCTTGTGGAGTCCGTTTGGTAGCAGTAGTCGGAGCTGGTGCAGCAGGAGCTGGGCCGACGCGACGAAGTGCCGTACAGGTCTTCTGCAAAGTACTGGGCCAGCTCGGTGCGGGACGAGCTGCAGCAGGATTTGCGTACCATTATCTCCTGCACCTCGCGGTCGGCGCATGCCGCATCCTGGCAGGCGTTAATCGAGTTGCAGGACACATCCGTGACGGAGCGATGGCGCCGACTGCTGCACACATGGCGTGTGCTCTGGCCGCCGCCCGAGGCCGACTGGTGGGTGTGGGCGCCAGGCAAGCTGCCGCTGCCACCCACAGCAGCGACGCTGTGCTGCCGGCGTCGACGGCGATGATGATGGTGCGAGTGCGATTGTGACTGCCTCTGACCCTGGCCCAGGTGGGAGTGATGGCTGTGCGGGGAAGTGTGGCGACTGTGGTGCGGACTGTGACTGTGGCTGTGCTTGCGCTGCGATGGCTGTGCTGCTTGATGACAATGCGAGGTAGCGGCTGCCGCCTCCTGCTGCTGGGGCGGCTCATGCTTGTGTTGGGTGCTGTTCGACAGTAGCGGCGGCGCTTGATCACATACGATATCTTTCTCATAGCTACAATGCACGTAATCGTGTGAGGTGTAACAGGACTGATGCTGATGCTGATGCAGATGCTGGGGCTGTGTTGCGACTGCAGCGGCAGAGTTGGCGGCGGAGGAGGAGGACTGGTGGTGCTGCTGGTGGTGCTGCTGCTGCTCCTCCTCAGCGCGACTCGTTGAAAGTACACTGGCAGTTTCAGGAGGTGAGCCGTTCCTCAGTCAAGGCCCGCTGTTCTGGCAGGCAGGTGCTTGCTGACGAAGGTGATGGGGCGCAGAGGCAGCGCTCCGGCCCTGGTGTGTAATTCGGCCGCCGTCTAAAAATCGCTCGGATGCAGCTACAAGAAGCGCAAAGGTGCCGAAAGAACAAAATGAAAATCGAGACAGTTTTCCAATTAATAGAGCTACCAGTAGAACTTGATTTCAGTTCGATTTATTTCTCTTATTTATTCGAGCTAGTTTATTAGTTTTCTGGCTGGATTTAGTTGTAGTTGTAGTTGCAGTAGTAGTAGTGGTTAAGTCTAACAGTGCATGCAGAAAGTACATGCCAATAATACACATGCGCTTAGCTACTTCGATTTACAATTTACAAATGATCTCTCGCCTCGAGCGAATGCCGTGGTCATGCAGATTAATAACGTATTTAGCAACTAAATGACTCATGGTAATGAAATGAATTGTGATTTGAAAAAGCGATTCCCAAAGTTATTTCCGGACAATTTTGAATACTAGATGTATGTATAATCCGCATGTTCTTTATTTGTTCGCATTATTGGCACCCTTTATGTAGTACAGTGGTTTCTTTAAAGGTGCTGTTTTTATTTTTAGATATTGTTTACTTAGCCAATTCAATGATATTGCTCAACAAGGTTTAGGCAGGTCCCGAGCTCTCGTTCACTTGCGTACTATAATGGGAAAACAATCGGAAAAGAAAACAAACAAACAAACCAAAATGATATATATTTAAAGCAGTTGATCAACCAAGGTTCTCAGCATTAGATCGAACCATCTGCAGTTCGTTGCAGCTTAGCCTAGAAGGTTAGTGATACGAGCAGATACGTTTGGTTAACTGACGAGCGGGTGCGATTGTGTGTTAAGTCTTGTCCAAGCGGCACGCGCGGCATTTTCATGTAAATGCTTTGTGGCTGGTGGCCCAATAGCTGGTGTCTTATAAATTGCTTGATTGGGGACTCTGTGAGTGTGGTTTAGGGGCTCTTAGAGTAGTTGCTGTTAACCTACATGACATTCTTCCATGCGCCGAGTGCCTGCGAAAGCTATCGTCTCGCCCATAGTCAGACTCATTGTAGTAGCATTTGCGATTAGGAACTGGCGTTTGTATATTTGTACCGTAGTTTGTATAGCAGGCCGTGGAGCCGGCTCCACCGACACCGCCACCGACACCGCCACCGACACCGCCGCTCGCATAACTCGTCGACGTTGGACCCAAGAGATTGGTGCTATCACTTAACGGATATGGACCCATGCCTTCAACCGTCAACGAGAACGAAGTCGTACCAAAGACTTTAGTATATAGTTTGCAACGAATCGATTTGGAATTTGTTTTGTGTTTTTGTTCATGCATTATTCAGATTGTCGCCAATATATCAGTGACGTTTCCCAATCGGTTACATACAGTAGGTTCATGTGTTATTATTATTTGATATTGTGATTGATGGTAGTATTGTTGTTGTTGTTGGTATTGTAGTTATTGCAGTTGTGGTTGTGTATAAATCCAGTTGATTATTTAATTGGTTTCCAATATATCAATTGTTGTCGTTGATTTTGAATTTGTTTATTATAATTTTAGCAGCACAATTCAAATATTCCCAGATTATTATGAATATTTTCAAAACGAAAAATATGGCATGGTTAAAATTATATCAAATCTCTTAATACTTATATATTCTAATAGTGGAAACATTCAAAAGCTAATATTGAATTGCGAAAAGGAAGTGGTTTAAAAGCGAGCATGCATAACAGAAAAAGCTTGAAGCAACTAATATCTATATAATTTGTGATGATGCATATCTCCTAATGACACTGGTTGTAATTAACCGGCGTTGCTCGGTTTAAACTAATGCCCCGTTGGCGCTAAACTTATCTCATGATATGCTTCTAAGCTTCCCCTGCCTCTATCTAGACCCCTCTGCTTTTACGCCCACCACATAGTGGTGTTAATTTTATAAGAAAACAAACCTCTCGCTATTATAATGAGATCGATTCCTTTACACACACGAACAGACAGACAGACTCAATTCATCATCAAGAATACCCTATGCCTGCCTGCCATATCATGAAACACTGATTTCCCATCTGCCACGCCTGCTTCTGCATGGTTTATACACTTAATAGAATCATTATTCAATGATTTCTCATTTTTAGTTCAGGATATATGTAATTAGAAATGATTACCCTTAGTATTTCAAGTGAATTACTAAGGTCTCGTTGAAACAGTTCAGTATATATGTTTGTACAATCATTTGCCTCATTAATAGCTGTGATTTAAGTTTAAACTTTATTATATCTGATTCAAGGATTTATATTTTTAATGCTCTTCCTTTATAATTCCTTATACTTCTCCTAGAGTCCGACCAGTATCCATTAGTCAGTCATGCAAAAAGAATTCTAAAGTACAGGAGTACTACAAGGCTTTAGAAGAGCTACAATTTTAACTAGTTCAATAATACATTTTGAATAAATAGTAATTTTGTAGGAATAAATGTTAAAAGACGTATGTTATGAGCGAAAGTCATGCCATGTTGCATGCTTCACGAGTTAGACGCATTGAAATGGCTGGACATGTGTGGATTTGAGTAAAAATAAATGTTTAAATGGAAATTAAAATGGAAATTGAAATTCAAATTTGAAGAGAAATGTTTGCTAACTAATTATTAAAAATATGTGTTAATGCGTAATTTAGTGGTTTTTTTAGAGTTTCACCATGTCGCTGCTTGTGTCTGGGTGGCACATTGCGTATACGCAATGTGTAACACTAAAATGGCGGCACGTTGAATATGTTGTATTTATATGTGTTGTTTAAGTGTATATGGATGTATATACATATATACATGTACATATATGAGTGTATTAGTGTGCATGTTACAAGTGTAAGTAGGTTTACTTTTTGTTTTAGGCAGAGCTAAACATCTATATTCAGTTTACCTAGAGGTCATTATGTTGCATGTGTGTAATTGTGTTTGTTGTACAACATGGATACGTAAATATTCTGTATACTTTTCTTTGGTGTATGTTTTTTTTTTAAGTGTATTTTTGTATTAATTTTTTTGTATTTTTTTTTTTTTTGTATTTTTGGTTTTTATTGAACGAGCAATTTGCACAACAAATAATAGTTTGAAATTAATAACGTAAGTTGGAATTTTGCTTGCAGTTTGAAATTCGTTTTTAAAATTCTTACGTGAGTCATGTTGGGTCTTCTCCTCAGATACCATCAATGCGGCATGCTCGATGCCAGAATTCATACTTTGTGGCTCCAAGCTATTTGTGCAGTTTAGCATACTCCTGAAATTCGCACACTCTACGATTATGTTTTAAGTGTAAACGTATTTAAAATTTAATTTTGCAAACTAATGACAGCAGTTACGAGACATTGGGCGTAATACGCGTACGCCTACAGAGAGGAGCAGGTGGGACGATCAAAACCGGGACCTTGTATTTTTTACACCTGTATGTGTGTGTGTGTTTGTGGGGGCGGGTTAGCCTCAGCTGAAAGAACTTAGAGCATATGTTTGAGCCGGCTTGGAAGTTATTAGGCGCGGTCGCTACACGAAGACGAACAGCAGAACCAAAATCAAAATAATAAAAACAACAAATTAAATAACTTATGATAATATTTATTTAGATAAACAGTAGAAAAACAAATGGAACTTAATATTAGAACGTATCAAATAAATTAAAAGTAAACAAGGCTAATCGCAAGAGCTGTCGCAAACAAACTTTTCCGTTCAGTTCCACTTCGAAACTCGAGCGAAATTGAGGAAAAAAAAGTGATTTCCGACTGTTGAGATTGCGACTGTTTCCTTGTGCACACATTGAAATGCCAATTAAATTTGCGAGGACATTGCAACTGGGCATGGGCGTGGGCGTCAATGTGGGCTGGGGCGTGTGCGGGGGACAACAGCTGCCCTACATTACTGCACTTTGGTTCGCGTTGCATTGGAGTCACGTTGCGATATCTCAATGTCCGCTGTGGAGCTACTGTTGCCATTGCCGTTGACACTCTCCCCACTAAATGGACAAGCAACATAATCAAAATGTTTTGTTAACTTATATGACTGTGTGTGTGCGTGTGTGTGTGTGTAGCTGTGTGTGCGTGTGTGTTTCTGTTTTGTCATTTGTTGTTGTGCTCTGTTAATAACACTGAAAATTTGTGGTGCTTTAAACTAACCAATTTATTAAGAATGAACAATGAGCAATCAGGACACAGACTCGGAGGGGGATTGTTTAGATGTAAGGGCGCTGCATGAATTAGAAATTGAATTGATTGAAATACATGTATATATGTGTATGCATACAAGAGTATACACACATATCTGCATATATCATTTCATTTCGGGGTGGTGGTGGTGACATGAGAGAAATAGAATAGAGAATTACAAAACGGTTGATAATGAAACATGGCAGTTAAATAGAAGGGTATACAGAGTATTTAAATTCATATGAAATATTTGAGTAGTTTTTATATTTAAATTGCTAAATATGAACTTGTATTGAATAATTAGTTTGTCAGCTGAAGCCAGCTGTTAATCGATTGTAGTAGTAGTTTTAATTATTTTTAATGTAATTTGTAATTTGTAGTTTGTAATTTGTAACAAAAGTAACGAGTAGAACAGGCAAAGTTAAGCAGACATGCCGAAAAAGTATGAAACTTTGAGCGCAAGTTTTCATAGAATTTCATTAATTTGCTTTTTTTGTTTGTTTGTTTTTTTTTTTTTGATTTGTTTTGTTTTGTTTTGTTTTAAGTAGTTAAAATGTACAATAAAGTTGCTTTTAGAGTGAACTAATAAAGTACAGCAAACGAGCTACGTTTAAATAGAGCGAAACGCTTCAGATTGTAGTTTTGTTTAAGCTTCGATCTGGAGTTTATTAAGTTTGTTTGTTTTTTAAATTTTTATTTTGTTTATGTTTTGTCAGTTTCTCTTAAATTCATGCAACTTACCCGTACAGTCTACTATCTCGAAATGTCCTTTAGTTTCGGGCATACATAGAAAGGACATGGTTGGTATTATTTTCAGTACAGTCGTTAAAACGCAATGTGTTACAACAAAATAAACAGGATAAAATTTCAAAATTGAACAACTTAGGCGCATAGCTGGCGGGCTACACACAACTTCTATGCATACCGCATAATAAACTTCCAAGTACATAATTGAAGGAAATACACTCGTTTCACTTTAGGAGAGTGTTTAGCTACAATAGATTTGTGGAAATGTGGCTGAGCTGCTCTTAGGAATGGAATAGGCGTCTGTCTAATCTCTTTGGGTTTGGTTACAGTGAGAACTTTGTAGTTATCGAATCGCAGTGAGCTGTGTGCAAAGTCTATGAGTGAATGGAAGCGCTTACGTACCTGCCGTTGTTATGACGGAAGAGGGCCAAGATTTCCTCAAAGGTTTTGTTTTTGGTCTCAGGAACCTTCTTGTAGGTGAATATCCAGAATATGGCTAAGAAAACGCTAAATGGCAAGAATGTGTAGTTCTCCAGTGAGTTCTGTACAAAGCGGGGAAACAGTATATGGGTTTATTATGAATAATTCCACTCAATATACAGGGACTTGCCTTCATTCTGGGGAATCCAATGCCGACCACAAAGTTGGCCATCCAGTTGACCAGCACGGCAATGGCCATGGCGCTGGGCCTCGGGCCTTGGGAGAAGAGCTCCGCTGTTATCATCCAGGGTATGGAGCCGGGTCCCACGGCAAAGAACACCACAAAACCGAGCGTAGCTACCACAGACAGATATGACATCCAGTCGATCATTTCCTGCACATAACCAAAAAACTCCTATACAAAATGCGTAGTACTCGCGTTCTCGATGATTTGTAGGCTTTTGGTTTCATTCTCATATATACAAATATTTGCATATGTACGCAATACATGTATTTGTATATATGTCTTGATGTTTAACGAACTGTTCGTTGATAACAAACCGAAACAAATCAAGGAATATGGTCAGCCATTGAACCAGAAACGTAAGATAATGTAAAGTTAAGTTAAACCCTCTACCATAACATGAGTCTGAGCGCTTATATGCATGAGTTGGGCTTAGAGTCCAGTGGAACATATACTTAGTTAAGATACTTTAAAAGTAGTTGCTATCTTGGTTCTCAAAGAGTTGAATCGTTCTCGTCGCGTCACAAACTGTCACTTGAGCTTTTATACTTTTGCTGTAACACCTTTGGAGAACGCTTAAAGTACAAGTAGTGGAGAATACTAGTATGTATGTATATCTTAAATAAGTAGTACTATATAGATTAGGATTTAGTTCAAGTCTATTTAATAAATCAAGCGGCGTGTTGACACATTTCACGGGTGACAGTGTGAGGTTTGTGTGTTGAAAGTGGCCTTTGAAGCGTTTGTCAGCGCGTGTTCTGCTCTAGAATCAATTTAGCGACAGCTTTGTACATTACCCAACACTGGCTTGCGGTTGGCTGTGTTGTGAACTGTTTGCATTTTGGTGCCCGGAAAAACTGCAAATTGCAAATTGCAAATCGTGTGATCATGTCTTTGCTGTTGAAACTGTGTCTGCTTTTCTTTGTCAAATAATCAAAATAGGAAAACAAATTAATTTTAAATAAGTTGGTGTGTTTGTGTCTGTATCTTTGTGTGTGTGTGTGTGTGTGTGTGAGTGGGGGCAAAAGCCTGCCAAGTCGAGAATAGCTTTTAAATAAGGGGCGAGACAATTGCCCAAATGAGCTGACCCGCTGAACGCGCTCAGTTAGAGCTAAGCCTCTCAGGGACTAATAGCTCCAACTGTTGGTCCTTGTCTCTCACATGCTAGACTCAGTCGAATACCTGATTGAATGGGCAGCTCATTTAGGCAACAACTTAACCTAGGCACAACACAATATAGAAACTTTGCAAAGAAAAACTATTTTTGAATAAGGCAAGCAACAAAGTTGACTATAGGTGCAACACGGGCGACACGGGCGACACGCATCAGGCTTTAGGTTAGATTAAATTATTTATAAACATACTCATATTGATCATATTAAAAAGGGAATTATAAATACTATATGTACAGGGAGCCTTAAAGCTTAAACTAGATTTATTAACATATAAGGTAAAACGGTGAAAAAACGTAGCAATAAATTAAATCTGTGTCTCTTGCTGCTGGGTGCATTGCATGCTTGATATGTGTGCTACATTGAGAATATATTTTATACAAAATTAATAATTGCAGTGGCTTAGCGGCAGCCCATAAATAACATAGTATATACATTTATATATATTTTTTTCACTAATTTTAACGCATTTTTACAAGGCGCATTGTAGTAAATGCAATGCGATCGAGGGGTGTGGCAATTGAATGCTGGCAGAGGCGCAGCTATAAATTCAACTTGTTATAAATTCAAATATACATATCTCACATCAATAATTTATAGATATACGCGCGGGACAACTGTCATGCCCGCCCTTTTTCGTTTTTTTTTTTTTTTTTTTTTTTTTTTTCGGTTTTACTCTAGGGCTTGTTGGCAAAGGGGGTCTACACAACTTCATGCATAAAATATCTATGTCAATAATGAAATATTTATCAAAACATACAAGTATAGAATGAGTAGCATTAGAGTCAAAATATTTAGACAGCGTCCTTAAATCATTATCAAAATCAAATGCAATATGCAATATATGCTAATGCTAAAACAAAACTTTTGGCAAACCATTGCCGTACTCTAAAATACCAAATGCTAAGTAGGGCTTATGCAGGATGATGGACACTCTTGTACTTGCCTTGATCAGGAAGGAAATCGTTATGAATATGGAGAAGATGAACATGCCGCCCAGTCCATACAAATGCAGCGTACGGCGGCCAGTGCGATCCATTAGGGGAATGGACACCAATGTCATGACAACCTGTATTGAAAGAGAGGATTCATGTGAATGTGCGAGGCCTTGGCTGGATCAACTGTAGCCGGGTTACCATAATGGCGCCAATGCCTATCGTGGCAAACTTGGCGATTTCCTCGGTCAGGCCGGAGCTCATGAAGAGCGACGTGGAGTAGTAGAAGACGGCATTGATGCCGCTAAACTGTTGGCTCAGCTGCATCACGATGCCAATAATCAGAGGCGGACGCAACGTAGACGAGCAAATCAGCTCCATGGTCGATATATGGCTCTCGGCCTGCTGGGCGCGCTCCTCGGCGCGCATCTCCTCAATGTCCTCATCCACGGAGCCGGAGGCGCGTAGACGACGCAGTGCTGCCAAAAAAAGCGAATTAATTCGATTATCATTTGCTCTCAGCTGTTGGCTGTTGGCTGTTTGCTGTTACCTTTACGCGCCTCCTCCTCCCATTGTTTGGTTATGAGCAAATATCTTGGGGATTCGGGACAAACTGGCAGTAATATTAATTGCAATATTGCTGGACATATGGCCAGGCCCAGCAGAATGGGCCAGCCCTCGTTAGTGCCTAAGATCTGTTCAATGCCCAGCACCTGGGATAATAGTAAACCTACAGTCACAGCCAATTGATTAACAGTACCTAAACCACCGCGCAGATTCAGTGGTGCTATTTCAGAGATGTACATTGGCACCAACGAAGTATTGAGACCTGCAGAGAGCGAGAGAGCGGGAGAGAGAGAGAGATAGACATAGATGAATATAGATACACAATATAGGGAGTGTGATGTACTTACCGCAATTAACACCTATTATAAATCGGCCAAGGAATAACATTTCATAGGAATGACTAACTTTGGTAAAGCCCATCAAACAGGCGCCGGATATACCAAGCACATTGTTCAACAATAGACCGCCCTTTCTGCAAGTGCCCAAGGTATGGATGATAATATTAAGTAGAATCCCTTGAGTGTTGTTTGTTGTTGTTGACTACAAACCTGCCAAAGCGGTTGGCCATCCAGCCACCGCTGAAACCACCGAGCATGCCGCCAATGGCAAATATGGAGACAGCCACCGAGTAGAGCTGCTGTATGAACTCCTCGCTAATGTCCTCGCCGTAGCGATCCTTGTACACATCCTTCATAAAGTTCTCAATATTCTTTTCGGGCGCATTAATGACTCCAGTGTTGTAGCCGAATTGCAGCATGCCCAGCACCGCCGAGAATATGGAGTAGGTGAGGAAGAAGGTGAGACCCTGCAACAGGTGGCCCAAAAACAGAACTCAATTAGAAAAGCACGATTGCACGCGGCGGGACGGGATCTGGGATGATTGGCTGGGTATGTGCGGGTTTTCTCAAACGCTTTGCAAACAAGTGTGCATAAAAATCAAATGTTACGTCAAATTCTTTGAGATGAGGCCAATCGCTACTTGATTTGAATTTCAAACGAAATATTAAAACTAGGTGGACAACTGATGAAAACTTATTAAAATAAACTTGCAATAAAAAACGATTTTTGTTTAGGTTTCTGCTTGAAAATTTATTAACCAAGAAATAATGTATTAAACAAAATAGAACTGAAAATAATCATGTTAAATGTGTGAACTCGAAAGCCGGTGTCTCTGTATGTGGGGTACTCGAAAGTTGCGCCCATCTATATTTATACATACATATATAGACATAGATAAAGAGCAAATGCGGAAATGGAATTGAGTTCCAAGAAATTTTCATCATGAGCACAACTTTTCAGTGTCGTTTTGTTCAATGTTTGTGTTTGTTTTGTTTTGTTTCGTACTGTTTGGGTGTTTGGTTTTGGTTCGGTTGTGGCTTGGTTTGGTTTGGTTTGGTTTGGTTTGGTTTGGTTTGGTGTACATGAATAGAAATGAAATTCAAGTATTTAATTACACAACATGGCAAATAATTTAAGCTACAAACTTGTTCTAAAAGTCTTAGCTTCCGTCTGTGCGTGTGCTCCTCCAGTCTGTCCACATATTCGCGCAGCTCCTCAATCTCCTCCTTCACCTGCTGCACGGTGTCCAGTTCGTGTTTGATGGCCACCATGTCTCGTTTGACCTAAACACACACACACACACACACACACACGCATAATGGCAAATCGAATTTAGGACAATTGAATTTGGTGTTAATCCGCTGTGCTCCACTTACCTCCGATACCTCACTCTGGCAGCTCTCCACGGACTTGGTCAGCTCCTGCAGCTGTGTGCGGATTTCGCACAAGGCGACTGTCGTCTCCAGGTGTCGATCGCCTCGCTGCAGCTCATCGAGTTTCGCTGATAGATTCATGCTCATCACGCTAACTTGCTTTTGCAGACTGCGCCACGGCGATGCAGGCCCCAATGCAGTTGCAATTACGTCCGCCCCATCAAAAATGCCCGTTCCACACGTGAGTGTGAGTGTGAGTGTGAGTGTGAGTGGGTGTGTGTGTATTTGTGTGGGGGGCGTGGCCGTGGCCAAGTGCGGGTCATATGCGTGCAATGCATACAATTCAATTGACGGCGTTGCGTGACGTCACGTGCCGACGCCAAGTCACGCAAAGTGGCCCCAAGACGATACGTAGTTGTTGTTGTTGTTGTTGTTCATTTGTAGAATTGTCGCAATAGTTGTTGTTGTTGTTGTTGCAGAATTTGTTGTATTTGTTACAGTTAAAGAAAATATCAAGCAAAAATGCACTTTAGTTGTACGATAGCTGGCGAATGCCTTCTGGCTTTTATTATGCTACAGACTACGTAGTTATTTGGCGTATCAACGTAATTTATTTTGTGGCGCAAGTCAAGCAAACGAAGGCACCGTACGAAATTATTTATGACCGCTTGCATTAAAATTTACCGAGCTATGCAATTATTGAGGAATGAAGCAACATAAATTTTATGGCTTTGAGCTGCAACTAAAACTTAAAATACGAAATGCGAAATGCGAAATACAAAATACAAAACAGAAATACAGAAACACAGAAAGCAGAGCCAAAAACAGGCAACAAAACCAGGCAGAGCTAGCTCTAAGTAAATGAAAGGATTCGTGTGTTGTTGCGGTTCCAGCAGGACAGACGGAAAGAGGGACACTGGCGCAGTGGGACAGAGAGACAGAGCCAACGGAGGCGCAACAACAACAGCACCAACTTAAAAGCCAAGCCACCAAGTACATAAAAAGTAAGTTAAAGTGAATTGTTGGCATTATTCGTTTAGGTTAGGCCAAGAATTATGCAGTAAAAGTCTCAAAATTAAAAGGATAAATGATCTGCGTGGAACGCCGAGTGCAATACACACTTGGATACATAAAGCTGAGCTGACTATAAATTCAGTTGGGCAATGAGCCAAGCAGGAAGAGTCCTGAGACCTGTATAGAAGAGCTCTGCTACTATCCGTATAGACATAAATTCCAAATAGTTAACGGAAATACTCTGCGGGTCGCACTGCTGGAAATTTATTTTTATTTTTATCGAAATTGCGGACAATTTCAATTGGCATCTTTGGATCCCCAAAAGAGACCTTTAAATGGCATAGCCTTTGTTGTGCTAACCGCAGTTGGTGTCAGTGTATACCAAGTGGAGTAATCACTTCTGTTTTCCGGCTTAGATTCGACTTTTAGTCTTTACGGAATGCATAAAATTTACATTTTCATCAACATGCAGCGACATCCCAACAAATAAACGCCCACACTATTTCAGTGTGTGCGCGTGTGAGTATGCGAGTGTGTGTTTGCATTTGCTTTGCCAGGGCTGGGGCTGGGGCTAGCCAAAAAGCATTATGTGTACATAGTACGTATCTATGACTGAAAGTGAGAAGTGATTTTTGTTGGTTGTGCAAACAGAGCGCGCGAGTGGCGCCCAAAATCAAACAGCAACAACAAACAAAACGGGACATGGTGTGGCAAAAGTTATAGGCGACAGTTGCACATGCTCCACGGAGAGAACGCGAGCAGGCGGACGGGAAGCAGAGCGTTGATAGCCGACGCACACAATGCGCATACGACACATAGGCTGCACGACCAGCCACAGCCAGAGCCAGAGCTATTGCCCCCCGGCCAGTCCTCTGCAAAGCCATGCACTTGAGTTGGCTGCGCATTATGTTAATGCGCCTATGCGGCTGGCAGGGGGCGGCGGGGTACAGGCAGGCGAGAGTTATTCGCAACATGTTGTCATTTCATTGTTGTTGCCGCTGCTGTTGTTATTATTGTTATTGTTTTGCATTTCACGGACATTGTTGTGCCGAGCATAAAAGGATTATTTTATGCATACATCAGCAAACGAGCTGCAGCACCACGAGCAGCACAGCACAGCTAGAGCCTGAAACAGAACCAGAACCAGAACCAGAAGCAGAACGGCACCCAGAACGAGCGGCATCCTATGTAAGTTATTGTTCTCCATGAAAACAATTGTGGCTTGTGCGAATGTATTGGCATGCATATCTTTATCCCATATCACTGTTGCTATAGCCGAATCTCTATAGGGATCTGTATGCGTATCACGCATACGTATACTTGTGTGCGTGCATGTGTGTTTGTGTGTCTGTCAGATGCAAGCATTTTCGGTTTTGTGTAACGGATTTGTATACGTGAGCATTTAATAAAATTTGTGCCAATTTCTGCTGCTCCTGCTCTTGCTCCTGCTGGTGCTGCGGCTGCTGTTGCTGTTGCTGCAGTTACCTTTTGTATTCATTTAAGGTGCTCGCGAATTTATACGTGAGCCTGACGCTTTTCACAATGTTGTCCTTTGTGGCGAATGCACCTGCATATGCACATATGCATGTAAATAAAATATCATTATCCTATGGAGAGCCACTTGATAATGGCTGCCTGGGCAACGATATATAGAGTGAATAGAGGAGTAATAAGGCAGCCCGCTTCACTGGCAGGTGAGCTCAGCTCAAGTGGGGCTCGCAGTCCGCTCAGCTCAGCTAATCAAAGTTATAGTCAAGCTTTGTAAAAGGTAAACAAAATAGTAGCAATAAAATATCAGAAAAAGTATAATTCATATTTGTGACATACTCATTAAAGTTGTTCAAACCAATTGGCATATGGGACATTCACCAAATGTACGCAATTCGATATTATTTCATTTTTAATTATTATTTTTGCTTTCGCCCTTTTTGCGGCAAACACAATTTGCAATTACGAAAATATGTTGTTTTGTTTTATTGGAGTTCACGTTGAATTTGTTGCATTTTAGATTTGATTAATTTTTTACTATTTTTGAATTTGTTCTTTGTCGTTTTCAGTTCTGTATAATTTGCATGAATTAACATTTGTTTGTGGATATCAAATTTGATTTGTATTTTATGCTAAAATGAGACAACACATGATACAGAAAGCATAATGCACCAATTTAAATGGCAGTCGCAATGAAGTGAAATGGATAAATCAACAAATTAAAGCTGATTCACGAGTTTTTCGATTTGTTGCAGCTTTAATTTACGCGTATTTTATTCCTGTTTTTTTTTTTTTTTTTTTTTTTTTTTTTTTTTTTTTGGTGAGGGGACCATTCCGCCAATTAGTTAAACAGTTTTATAAAATCAAAGTGACAGAGAAAAAACTGAATATTTATGTAATTAATTTAACAAAACTTACTAAAGTGATGGCAATCAAGCTAAATCAAACATGACTGAAATGTTGAGTGACTTTTAAAGAGCGATGTGAGCGAGCAGATGAGCTGTTCTGCCTTATGCAGCTAAATCACATCCGATGAGGTCGGGTTAGGGCGGTTGAATGATAATTATGACTTTGTTGGCATGCAAAGTAGGGGTCGATTGCTGAGTGAGTGGGGCTGAGTGTCCAATATTGATTAACTGACTGCCTGGACGAGAATGCTGTTGTTGTTGTTGTTGATGATTGAAGTGTGCAAGTGTGCGTGTGTGGGTGTGTGCATTTAAGTGTGTACAGTGACTTAATGGCACTCGAACACTTTTCGGCATGTCATAAAGAACATAGCACATACGCATTCACACACTCGCTCACACACACACACCGAATCACACAATAAGAGCAACAGAGGCTTCAGCTCACAGATTGTTGTGGCTGCTCTCAAGTGCCCTACAATGCGCATCAAGTGTCTAGGGCCAGTGCGGCACCCAGCCACAGTGTCAGCCGCATCACATACATTTGACAATCGAAAAATGGATTGGCTGCAGAGGCGATAATTACAATATAACAACTAAATTTAATTTAGGCATACTAATTGAATTTTAATTGTCTGACATGCAAAATTTTGGTGAGCACGAGTTTGGGGCGTATTTGCGTTGCTCGTTAAATATTTGTAATAATTAACAAATCAATTGAATGGTCTGTGAAGTGCCGTATGGGAGTGCATTGGTTAATATTACAAAAGGTCGAGCAGAAAATAAATAGCAGGTACTTGGAAGGATAGAAATGTAGTTAGCAGTAGTAGTAGTAGTAGTAGTAGTAGTAGTAGAAGTAGTATATAATGTATAGTTATGTATAGATAGTAGTAGTAGTATAGATATTTAGTTATTTATATAATTGCTGTGATTGCAGTAGTAGGGAAATGGAAATTGCATACTCATTGAGTGGCGTAAATACCAAACCACTTTGGGTGTGGCTTCTGTAATTGGTTGTTGTTGTTGTTGTTATTGTTGTGGTTGTTGTATAGTTGCAGTTGTTGTTGTTGATGTTGTGGATGGAAAGTAGATGACAAGAACACAATTGAAATGTATTGAAATGGAAATGTTTGGTTAAACAGTTATGTACCATGTTACGTAATGACAGCTATCGATATTAAATTAAAAATGTAGACTCGGAATTTCGTTCGACAGCTTTGAGTTCGATTAGCGTACGTTGTAGTGCTTGTATAAAACCAAAAATCAATTGCATTTAAACACTTTACATATGTACAGAAACTAAAACTCTCTTTACACCGATATCATATGAATGAATGTAATCAATGCAGTGGGTTGGCATTATGAAACCAATATCAATCTGTTACACAGCGCACAGCAAACCAACAAAGCAGCAAAACGATTGAAGCGAATTAAACAGTTTTAATTAAACATATACAAATTTTAATGCCTAGCCATTTACAGCAAACACACACACACATACACACACACACACACATACACACACACACACACAGACTTACGCAGTCACGCTTTTATTAGTAATTACAGAAAACGGTAAGAAGACAAAATAAGAGCGTTTTTGTGATAAATTTGCATTAATTTAAAATATTTGCATTGTGCAAAATAAACATATTAACCAACAACAACAAAATTAATAACAACAGAAACAGAGAAAAACTGAAAACTGACAATAAAAGGAAAATGGAATACATGGCGTCTGCGTAATGTTCGCGCTGTTAATTATGACTATGCTTTGTTATTATTATGAAAATTAATTTTAATAGTTTGGAATGCTTTGTATATGTACCTGGGTGGCATTGTGCCCATCATTTTGTTGGCTTTTATTTTGTGTTCACACTCCGGCGTTTATTTAACAATTTATATAAATCTTCCGTTTTCCTTCTCTCTCTCTCTCTCTCTGTCTTTCTTTGCTTTTTTTTTTTTTTTTTTTTTTTTTTTTTTTTTTTTTTTTTTTTTGTTTTTTAGTTATGCATCAAAAAACGTTTGGCTTAATTAATATTTTTTGCATGTTTTCTTCTGTTTGCTTTGCTTTGTCGAGAATTTTTTGTTAACCCGAGCTTTGGTGAATGTCGCATGTGCCTGCCGTTGTTATTAATATTGTTTGATATTTGGGGCTTTTTGTTGTTGGCTATGCCTCTACACTTTTTACGGGTGGCCGTGCAACAAAAGCAACACAACACAAATGCCCTCAATAAATAATTGACATTTTAAGGACACGCGCTGGACACTTAAACGAACATAATTTGCGCTAATCTGTGTGGGGGAGGGAAAGTAGTTAGAGTAGTTAAATATTTGCGCATAAATATGACCAAAAGTCCAAACATCGAATAAATATTGTTTACATTAAATATAAAAAAAAAAAAAAAAACTGCAATTACGAAAATAGTTTGAAATCTGTGAAAATTATTTTGTTTGTGCATTCAATTAAAGGACAAAACAAACTGAAAATAATTCGTCGTGTTTGCTGATTCGTAAATAAAACATTGGCTCCAATACACGACGAGTAGCCAAATAGATAAATTAAATGCAAATGACTCTGTGTGCGTGCCATTAAATGTGTAAATTAAAAACTTGGCACATTCTTTATGGGCATCAAACTAAATATGCATATTGCTAAATAATTGCTATTTATTTTATTTGTCTAGCTAACTGCAAATACTTTGCGGCGAGCAATTTGCGGCATGCAAATTAAATGACGCATAATGAGCCAACACGCTAAAAATCGCAGAGGTAGCTGTATCTGTAGCTGTATCTGTAGCTGTAGCTGTAGCTGTAGCTCCAGCTGTAGCTGTAGCTGTAGCTGTAGCTGTAGCTCCAGCTGTAGCTGTAGCAAGTGCCACGCCTAGTTCATTCTGTGTTCATTTTATCTGCATGCAACGGCAATTCAACTCGCCTGCCTGATTGGCATTGCTTTGGTTCGTTCGTTTGTTCTACATACTCGAGCAGCAATTGGCGCAGTGTTGCCTCATCCTCGCCATGACATCTCAATCTTGACTCGCGGTCACGATCATCACGGCTCGAGTGGCGCTGGCGCTTGGGGGCGTAGCTGAAGGAATGTCGATAGAAACGGCCGTTGTTTATATTATCACCTCGATAGGCGTCTGTGGGCGACAGTTAGAGGTTAGTTCGAGAAATTGGGCAGCCGGACGAATGGGAGAGATATTCAGTTAATGGATGAGTAATACGCACCTTCGGGTCGCAGGCGCACTGGCGGCGAGGTCAGCTTAAGTTGAGTTGACGTTGTTGTGGGCGGAGTCTTACGTCGACCACCAAAAACATAATCGTAAGAATCTTCGCTCAAATTGGACACTGAACAAGGCATACACGACAAGAAGATAACGAGCAGGCTCATAAGGACTTGTGTCGAAACAAAACCACTTAATGATTACGCTTAACACGAATTCGAAAACCAGCAAAACTAAAAACTAAATCACTCAAATCATAAATATAGGCAAAGGCTTTGCACAAATAAATAAAAACAAATGAAAAGCTTAAATACTATGCATAAATAGAATATATTAAAAGTAGGCTGATTCCTACTTGGGTTTGTTCTTGTTGCAGTTGCAGTTGCAGTTGCACTTTTATACTCACTCTACAAATGAACGCATAAAAGCATATTATTCAATATAAATAGTAAATTGTTTGTCAAGATTTGTTGTTTTGTCCGGTTTATAAAAATAGAAGAAGAGAGCACAAAATTGTTAGAATTTGTTAGCATTTCAGTATTTTTGGTTTGGTTTTGGTTTTTGGATTTGTTTGACAGTTGTGGGACAGCACTAAGGTAAGTGAAGTGGAAAGAGTAACGGCTGGCAAACGTTCAAAAAATGTTTACAAAGCAGCTGCAAATTACATTTGATATATGAATGTTTTTTATTTGCTTTCTAATAGACATTTCCCAAAATAACAATTTAAAGAAAAACACATAGCAGCATCAATACAGAGCACAGCTACTTGAAAAAGTTTTTTGTTTGTTTTTTTTCTTTTTTTTTTTTTTCTATGGAATGTTACAAATATATATTTTTTTTTAGTCAAAAAGTTGAAAGTACAAAGAGCAAGCACAGATAGAGGGCATAGAAAGAGCGACATTTAATTAATGGACGACTGTTGGTAGTTTTAAATTTTTTCTTTTTATGGAATTCGGTTGATTGATTGATAGCCTGAATGGGTGCGGCTGGCGCAGCTGAAAAATGCTAAACAAAGTTAACAAAAATGTGTGTAACTGTAACGCGCTGCGGCATGTTTGGTATACCTGTGGCTATGCGTGTGTGTGTGTGTGTGGTTTACAGGCATTCGGGAGTCTCTGTGTGTGTGTGTGTGTGTGTGCGGGTGTGTTTGTGTGCTAGAACGTGTAGTCTCGTATGCTATGGCAGGTATTTCAGTGATGGAGTCAAAATCAAAATAAAAGGAGTCTAAAATACATCAACGCCAATTAAGCTAGAAACAAAATCAAAAGTTCAATCTACACATCAATTCAAGTGGCAATAAAATACTTGAACAAATCAAATATATTTTGATGTCTCTGACAAATATGCAGAGGAAAACAAAAACTGTAGGTCAAATGTAAATCGAAATAAAACCAACCGAAAAATGCGAGCAAAGAACAACAACAGACATTAGAGACAATCAAAGAGAGCAGATAAATGAGAGGAGATTTATTTAGTTAGTTAGTTGGGCACCTGGAAATACGCTCAATGGCTGAAGCACTTGAGTGGAACGCAACGGCGGTGGTAACGGTGGCAGCTGTCCAAACGGATCTTGATCGTTCGAAATGGAAGACGTTGGCGGCGAGATCATCGATATGTCACCACAGGTCGCCATTTCATTACTGTGGCCAGCTGCAAGAGATTTTCAAGGAAGTTAAAAGCGTTACACGATATGCATTTCAATTTTCGAGGCCACAAGAAGAAACTCACACACACACACGCACAACAAAGGGTTTTGCAAGGCGCCAAAGGTAAAATTAAGATGCGGCGCCATATTTCGCACATACATAAATTGTATGCCAAGTCCAAGAGACAGTGGCAGCTGCACGGCACGCATGCATGAATGCATAGGTAAAGCTTTTAGCCAGAAAACGCCTGGGTGAGCAAACACACCTATACACACACGCACACACACATGCATACAGCAGTGGCACGGGAGCCGTAAAGTAGAGACCATATATGTGGCTCCATCTTAGATTTGGCTTACTTCCAGTACAGGTTGGGGATCTGCATCTCGACTTGAGCGTGGGTCGGCGCCAGGGCCGGGGCCGGACTCGGGGTCGGAGCACGGTGCGTGCCTTTGCATAAAATAGATTTCATTTTGATTCGCTTGAACAGCAACAGAAGAAAAACCGTAGAAAATGAAAAAGAAACGGAAAATGCCCCAACTGAAATGCTCTAGCAACCACTCAAGTTTCATTTAATGGTGAAATTCTCTAGATTTGACACTATTTAGATGCATAGAAGTATTATATATCATACATTACATTATATTGTTTCATTGGAATTAAATACGAAAATATAATTACAGTTCGCAGTTGTAATACTAAAGGGAACAACTATACTATTAAGTCCTTATATGTTTGCAATTCAGCTTTGACCATAGAAATTTATATAAATTTATTCAATTTATTTATGAATATCCAAGTCTGGTCCACAAAGGGAACCTTACCCGGGGCACCCTCTAAATCGAGTTTCTACTAAATAAAGAATAACTAATAAGATCTGCCATCAAGAACGTGACTCTACTCACGCATAGTCTTGGCAAATGTAGAGTACAATTTGCAATTCCTTTTTCTTTTCTCTTCTTTTATTATTTTTATTTTTTTTTTTTGGGAACAACACTACATGAGTTGTAGGTGGGCTTAAAAATGCCTCGATAGCTGCGATAAATGTGCCCATAGTCAGCTTCACTTTGTGGTTTGCTATGGATTCCGCAGGCCAACACTTGAGCTTGCATACACACACACACACGCACACACGAACAAGGAAGAGAGCAACAGCAACAACAGCAGCACGTGCAGCTATCCGTACGGTATTTTGAATTTTTATTATTTGCAATTTGCGTTAATGTTGTGGAAAAAAGCATGTGGCTGTTATGGCTGCTGGCTTTAGCTATAAGCATCATATGTATGTCTGTGTGTGCGTGAGTGTATATGTTTTTCTATGGCATATTGAATGGCCATTTGTGCCACAGTCACTCACACAGACACAGACACACACACACACACACACACACACACACACACACACACTTGCACGCACAGGCACATGAGCACACAGTCGCACACTAATGACCTTTTCATGGCCGCCTGTCGATGAATGTAAGAAATGTGGGCAAATTATGGAAGGATCAGGCGTGTATATCCCTTGCCAGTTGTCGTTATTGACAAAATGATTTGTAAACATTTTGCGCGTCATTAGCTGCAGTCATTGCCGATGGCTGAAAAGTCCGCAATGGCATTTCAGCATTTTCGCATTTAACAGATTAAAATCATGCATGCATCAACATTTCCTCAATGGCTCCACAGCCTCCAGTTGGCAGCTGACTTGTGGCAGGATGCAGCCACCTGGCTAAGTTCTTTGCTGACCATGCATCTGCTTCCGGCTTCAGTTGCATGAATGGAGCCAGACCGGACTAGACCAGGCCGCACCAGAGCAGACCATCTAGGCCAAATAGAAGTCAACTCTACGACCGAGTCACTGTCATCTCGGATGTGAAGAGTTGCCTCAATCTCCACATGTGGCATGCAAATATTTGCTTAAATTTGTGCTGAGGTTAAGTTTTTTGTTTATTTTGCTTCTGCAGCAGCGCAGCTGCTACTGCCGCTGCTACTGCCACTGCCACTGCTGCAAGTGCAGCAACTTGATGACAGACAATGGTCAATGGTCTGGGCTATGCGTCAGTCGCCCAGTCTGACTGGACTCCCTGCTTCTAATCACTGTCCCAGCCCCCACCAACCCCCGCCCCACCCACAAATATATGTCATCTTACACACTGGCTAGCTGACACAGAAAAATAGTTGTGGAAGCTGGGAGCCAGCGTTTTGACTGCATGCCAAGGCCTCCACTGAAGAAGCAGCTTCAAATCTGACGATGCTGATGACGCAAGTAGCACGCCACAGCACGCCCTGCCTCCCTACCCTCTCTTTCTCTCTCTCACTCACTCACTGTTTCTGTGTGTGTCTGCATCTAGCAGTAAGTCATTTATGTGCGAATATGTGTGTGTGTGTATCTGACTTAGAGGCTTGGCCATTGACAAAAGTGCTCTGCTGGCGTCCTTTGGCCAGGCCGCTCAGTTATGAAAGGGGCGACTGCCACGCCCCCCGTGGATGCTCTGTTAACATTTAATAATTGAATATTATGCAATCAATGTGTCCGAGTGCCTCTGTTGACTCGGGCGCATACTTTATTGCATACTTTTAGGCACTGCATTCAGCTTATTTGAATTATTTATAGTAGATTTCTTTTATATACATATTTGTTTGCTAGAAAGCACTAGAGCAATGACTTTGTGCTCTTATCTCTCCTCAGCCTTATTCACAACTTATTCACAAGGGTCTGGCTTATCTCTTAATTTAAACGTGCATCTGGAGCAGACTTTTTGACCTGTTAGGGGTGTATATGTATTGGTAAGGTAACGAAAATTGTCCAGCTGAGCCACACCTTAATAGCAGAGTCCCTTCACTTTCCAACTTTGGGGCAACCGCTCGTTATCTGCCAGTAAAATGTGTGCGCCTCGGGCATTTAGAGTAAACTCTAACTTTTTTCAATTCGCATTTCATATTCAAGCTTTCATCACGCTGTCGTGAATGGAATGTCAACCCATTCTGCAAATTAACATGAATAAGTTTTGGCTTGCTCGCAAGCCATCGCTTAACTTCTGCAGTTTCTGACAGTTCATTTTATTAGTTTAATTTTTGATTTGTCTAAAAACTTGAGCAATGCACTCGCACGATTCTCTAGTTCGCGCCTGTTATCCCTCTCAGTCTTAGTCTCTAGCACTCGTCCCCTCCACTCTCTGCGGCCCGGTGAGGGCGCTGTTTCTCTCGCTGGCAGTCTCCAATCAAATTAGCAAGTAAAATTGAAAACTGATTTATTCATGAGCGCAACTAACCATTTTTTGAGATAAGAATAATTTAAAATTCAATTAACTAACGCCACAGCTCAAGCTAGCGCTCTCCACACACCCACACGCACACCCACACACACTCATACCATGCACACACTTCAACAGTCAGTTACAATGGAAAGTTGCGGTTCGGGGGCCTCGAAGTTGGTTATAGTTTGTAGTTTGTATTGTCCTGGGACTGAATCTGCATTTGCATTCGCTGAGCTGAGTTTTCACTTGTGAATGTTGTTTTTGGGTAATCAATTGCAAGGAATTGTAGAGCTCATGAAGCTTTCGCCTTGAGCGCTTGTCAAGTAAATATGCTTGATTAAGTGAAACAAAAGCCGCACATAGACAACTGCAAAACGCATCCGCACATCCGCACACACGCACACACGCACACACGCACACCTGCACAATTGTGTACCTGCGCAGAGTGTAACCACAGCTCTATTAGTTATTGTGAGCCTTCTTGTTGTTGCTGTTGCTGTTGTTGCTGTTGTTGTTGGTGTGTTCATTAATGGGCTTTTGTATTTGTTAACCGCAAAAATGATTGCCGCTCAAATGCACTTGAATGTGCCACTGCTGCTACGGCCGTATTGTCAGCAAAACCGCAAAATCCTATATTATTGCGTTGGCTTAAGCCAGCCAAACGCATGCCACATAAATTTAATATAGTTTGAGCTTGCAGCCCGACTCGTTGGCCAGTGCCCACATCACACACACATACACACACACACACACACACATCACACATCAACTGCAAGTGGGTGCCAGGAGAACGATGCAAGCGGAGTCATGCAGTGTAAGCACGTGTCTGTGGGTGACACTTGACAATCAGCACCAAAACCAAGACGGAGAGGGAGAGGGAGACGGAGATAGAGATAGAGACAGAGACTAGCCGGACGACACAACAAAGCCCTGAAGATGGCTTGGCTTGGCGCTGGCGCTGGCGCTGGCAAAAGTGAATTCGTTTTCAGCATCGACGCCGCCATCGTCATCGTATTGGACGCTGGCTCTGGATTTGGTTTGGCAGGCAATTTCTTGTTGTTATACTCTCACCTCTCGCTCTCGGACAGTTGTTAATACATACGTAAACACACTCACACATATACACACAGTAATGGATTTAGCACTGCAGTCGTCTTGCTTCTGTTTTTTTTTTTTATTTTGTGGGGTGGGGGTTGGCAAAGTTTACACGTATTATCAGCACTGTTTATTTGTCCCCATACATATTTATATATGTACACGAGTTTTAAAAATCGCATTCATTAAATTGCAGCACACGCGACGTATGATTAATATTATGACGTCGCCTGGACCTGGCTAACGCTGCAGCTGCAATCGCTGCCGCCAGTCGCACAGTCCTATCAAAAAGATACGCTCAAAGTATCGCTTTAGCGCTTCATCTCACACTTTAGCCAGAACGAGCGAACATTTTGCACATTATTAAAATTACTTGAGTGCCCGTCAACGGGGGCCAGCCATATTGACAGAGTGTTTAATGCGAAATATGTATATCAGAGAAACGGCACGTTTAACGAGAAAGAAGAAGAAGATGATGAAAAAAAACACAGCAGGAAGTACAACTCGTAACAGCTTGGTTATGGCCATAACCACATCGTATAAGGTGTAAATATGAAACAGGACCCGACAGAGCCTAAAGCTCTATAGAATATGGCGTTTTCCGGAATAAAACCTGCCATTTGTAAATATAAACTAAATAAATAATAATAACTGTAAGAATATTCCACATTATAAAATTGGATACCGATTTGAGCTGGAATTCAATCTCACACACTGTGCCCAAGTCAAGTCAGATCATAATAGTATTTTACATAAGGGTAATTCCGCGTAAAAATTGCAAAAACTTTTGACTTTCCTGGAGCTGTCTTAGAGCTTGATATTTGTTTAATTGCGCTGGAGTGAACTGTACTCACCGTTGCACATAGGAAAGCCATTTCGTTGCCAGTCCAGTCATGCGACGCTGCTGCTGCTGCAGTTGATGATGATGATGATGTTGATGAAGACGATGCCGAAGAAGCGGCTAAAGCAGCGGGCGTTCGGTGTGGGGGCTGGGGAAATTTTCAGGCTCAGTTGCTCTAATGCTCCTTTGTGCCAGTCGAATCCAATTTTAGCTGCATGAGCTGCTCGTAGATCGCATAAACTGCACGCACGCACACAGAGACACTCACGCGCACACACACGAGCTCAAGCGCCAACACGAACACGCAGTCAGAGAGCGCCGCAACGGAAACCAGCTGCTGCCGTGGCTCACGCCTTTCGCACTTGGCAAATGATAAAAACTGGCAACGCACTGCTAGAAAATATGCATTTTTAATGCCATAAATTAGTTTTGCCGTTTGTCGTTCCTCTGCACCGGAGAGCTGCAACGAGAGTAAAAGAGATAGATTCGTAAGTACTGTGTGAGAGAGAGAGAGAGGTGTCGGCATGGGTACTCGTAAAAGAACCCAAGCCCAGTTGAGTGTCTAAAGCTGTTTAACTTAATACATAAAAACTAAGTGAAATGCGCAGACTATAAATGCGTTTTAAATTTAAAAAAAAAAAGAGAAAAGGGGAGTCGCTGCAGCTAAAGGCTTACGTAATTCATAAACTAATAGCCAGCTTCCATTAGCCAGACTGGGGAGTGGGGCAGCTGAGTGGGGCAGAAGGTGTGTGCTGCGCAACGAGTAATATTCATTACAACTAATTTCATATGCGGCATTTCATAATAACTAATTGAAATTCAGTTTTGGCTGAAGTACCTATTTTAAAGTTGGCTGTTCGCTGTTGGCTTTGCTAAGCTGCCATGGTTTGTTATCCCTAAAGAATGAGATTTACGCCCAGCTGCGTTCAAATATCAGCTCACATCGAGCCAACTCTCTCAAATACCCTTTAGTCTCACATCGAAATAAATATTATATTTAATATCAGATAGATCATTGAGGTATGCACTTTAATATTCATATTAATAAGTGTTCATAATTGATTGTAGATCATTGAGACACTTGATTTAGCATTAAAGTACCTGGTGGATCCTTAAGGTTTATAATTGAGATATTGCATTTAATATTATAGTAAGTATTATATTAATAATTGGTGGTAGATCGTCGGGGTAGATAATGGAGACATTCGATTTAAAATTAATATAAATATATTAATAGCTGTTTGTAAATCATTGAAAATTAAAATAAATATTATATTCATACTTGTTTGTATCTGGCGCCAGCCGAACAAACCAATTATCTCAGAGCTGCTCATTTGAAAGGCAGCTCGAATTTTCCATCTAATGCAATTTGGCTGTACAACTCCCAAGTCGAATCATAAAAATTGCACAAGAAACTATTTCGACTTGCTGAAAATAGCTGAGAATGGGAAGCGACACAGTCTTTGGCCGGAAAAGCCGGTGTTAGTAACTGAGAACGGCCAAATACCGCTTAAAAATGCATGAGTGTGAAAAGCTGCAACGAGTGCTCCGCTGAGCACAGCAAAGGGATTGGGGTTGCAGCTGGATCGGGGAATTGCTGCCACGAAGAAAGTCGGAAAAGTTACGGTAACAAAAATCATAACTGGCGGGTCCTGGGGATCGAAGCTGGCAGCCCAGGATGGCGGAGCTAAGACTGAACGAATGTGTATTGAAACGGAACGGCAGGAGCTGGCCCACAGCAGCGCATATACATAAAATGTCACAGAATCAGAGCCAAGAGCTGCTCATATGCATAGGCTATGGCATGAATAAGTAAGCTCAAACCTGCCTCAGCTGCAACAATGCAGACAGCAAGCGACAAATAAATTGGTGGCGAGAGATTGAAGAGGAAGAGCAGGACAGAAAGAGCGAAGGAGCGAGAGAGAGAGAGAAAGAGAGAGAGAGAGAGAGGGAGGCGAGAGAAAGAGGTAGTGAATGGCTGTGATGTGGCCCGTGCCGACTTTTGCTTTTCATTCATACGAAATTACCTGCGGCCAAGAGGCGTAATGCCAGTTGGACTGCAAAATCCACTTAGGAAGTTGATACAATCAGCTGCTCTGACGAGCTGACTAGCCCGGACGACCGCCCATGTCTGCATGTGGATGGATTCATTAAAACGAATTGCTCTGAGTTTTACGGCCAGACTCCGGCCTGCCTCTGGCCAGGCTCAGCCCGGCCGAATAGTCCGAGCAGAGCTCACCAGGGTATTGCTGCGACTACTATATATGTCTATATATGCAGTTTTTTGGCTTTTGTTTCGGGGACTCATTGACGTGCGGCTCCGCATACGAGTGCTGCATTTACCACAGAATGGATGCTGCTTGCAATGGCAACTGCGACGGCGATGGCGACGGCGACGGCGACTGCGACGGCGACTGCGATTGTGGCAATGGCTGTGGTTGCCTCTGGTGCCTTGGTTTTGTTTGCGCCGCAAAGTATGCAACGGCTGCTGGTTTTGTGCACGGAAGCCAACAAATGAATTAGCCTCCGCTTGTTACCATCCATCTGCCTATCTCTCCGCTCGTCCACCCATCTGTCTTTATGCCCTGCTTATTTGCTAGTTTGTTTGCTACCCGTTAGGGCTCTGTGTGCTCGGCTTGAATTCGGCTAAATCTACTTTGCTGCGGCAACAACAACCAGTCGCAAAACGCATTAAAACTGTAAATTAAGTGGAGCATTGTGCAGATTGGTTTCAGTCAAACCAAACCAGACCAAACGAAACGAAACGAAACCAAACCCAGCCCATCCCATGACCCCGATCCGTCCTCAGTGTCCTCATTGATTAGCCACACGACTGCACTCAGAGTGCGCCTAATTAGAGAAGACTGTCCCACGTGGGGCGTCAATTGCAACGAGGACTGCTAACCGCACAGACTTTTCTTTTCTTTTCTTTTCTTGTGTTCGACAGCCTCGTTCCGGCCTCTCAGTGTGCTGTTAATTATTTATATTTTACATTTAATGCGCAGCTTAGGCAGAATCCTCAGCCACACTCACATACGCGGACACACAGACACATTGACTCTTAAACAGCCAAGTATTCATACATATTCATTTTTATATTCATATGGTGGCCATATTTGAGGCTTTGAGCTCTGAGCCGTTCTAGTTGTTTGAAGTGGGCGCCCAGGCAACACTTCCGCATCAGCGTTGAGCGATTTGGGCGTTGAACGTGTGTAGAAAATGGCATAAAGCATACATCCCGAGCACATACTAACACCCACACACCCACACACAGATATAGGCAGGCATTGAGAGACTTACGTGCATATTTTGCTTACGCCTACATTTGCACAAACAAACAAACAAACCCCAAAGAGTCTCGTTCAAAGTAGAGCGAACTAAACTCAACTCCAGCTCCAACCTCAACTCCGACTCCAACTGCTCCGAATCCAGGCAGTGCTATAGCTCAGGGTCTGCATGTCCATGTAACATGTTAATGAACTGCGCCAACTGTGTTTGCACAGAACTTAGTGTAATGTAATCCAAGAGCAACCAGGCGGGCTGGCAAAGCTGGCGGGCTGAGGCTGATGAGGCTGAAGTCAGTGGACTGGACTGAAGGTGGAGCGCAGGAGGCAGTTTGTAGTCAGTCAGGCAGCCATTACGAACACTCTTACGCACACACACACACACACGCATACACACACGCACACACGTATGCACACCTCAACGCCCCAATGTGTCGAATGTTACGCCAAGGAGTAACTTTGACATTTAGCATTCAAGGCTTATGAGTGCCACAAACACTGGGCGTGGAGTCTGGGGATCTGAGCGGGCAGGAGGCTCTGACATGAAGGCTGCCAGCAGCCTGGGCAATTGCCTTACGGTTATTTTCATAGCCCTGGCCTGGCCACAAACTGCGCGCCAAGTGTGACATATGCTGCAGCAAAAAGCGAGCTAAACTAAAAAAATGGTATATACAAAAAAAAAAAAAAAACCAACAGGCGACAACCTGCAAACAGTTTGGATTCTGAGTTGGCAGTGACATGCCAGCTTGTAGGCTGCCATCAGAGATGCCAACGTGTGCGTTAGCCAGCTCAGCCATTGGGAAATTAAATATGGCTACATGTGGCATGCTGCGCTCGAACGGGGCAAGTATGTGTTTGATTTAATTTAGGCCAACAAATGTATGGCTATACTTAGCATATTAGACGAAAGAAAGAAATGCATTTGAATGGGACTGCTTGAGCTATAGATATTAGGAGTAATATTATACATTATATAAGTAATTAACGAGTTTAAAAGCCTTTACTCTTCAATATTTTAGCATAGGATCTTCGTTACTAAATTTACTTAAAATTTAACCCTTTTGAAAAATGGGAAAGAAATACGTAATACAAATACGGTGGGCTGTTACTTTGGTTTAAACTGCTTATTCAACTTTGTCTGTTTTTAATGCCAACGAGTAAGGGCTAGAAAGTCTTAGCTTTTTCGTATTTTCATTTCATTAATTTCAAAGACAAATATAGTCAAATGAATAGCCACATCGAAATTTGCTTTATAGACACAGATGCGAAAAAATATTTCAAGTGTGAATTTATATATATATATATACATATGTATTTATTAATTAATTATTTTAATTATATATAAATTAATTTCTTTTTTTTCTTTATTTATCTAGTCTTTTATTATTATTATTAATATGATTATTATTTCTATTATAAATTCACTGATAAGATATGAAAATATTATTTGATAATGATGATAATAATGTAAAGACCGTGTTTCGCTATACACCTAGCAGTTCATAAATCTATCGTTCAATGGCTATGTAGGTAAGTCTTTAGTAAAAAGAAGACAAATTGAACTAATCGGCTTCTCCTTCCGCCACGATTCATCAGCCAAAGACGTGTGATTACAACTTGAAATCAATTGAGTAGAAAAAGTATTTCGTGATTTGAAAGAGTAGAATATTTTGCATTGTTGCTTATTCGGTCATCTCCCTTTAAATTACACTCATTCTGCTGGAATATTCTGTGTCGCCTCCTGTCGACTGTCAGCCCCGTTGCAATTGCCTGAAGCGTAAGGCCGTAAGGTGCTCCGTTTAAGCCATTGGCATGCTGGGCCTGGTAGTCTTTGGCAGCTGGAAGCCAGTCGCCAGAGTGGAGCATGCAAATCAACTGACAGTTTGACGTCATAATTATTCATATTGTTGGCCAAAAGACGATAAGGAGAGCCGGCAGAAGACGAAGCTGTAGCGCACAGCAGGCAACGGCTCTTGGCGGGGCAGGGCAGGGCAGGGCAGGGCAGGGCAGGGCAGGGCAGGGCAGGGCAGGGCAGGGTAAAGGCAAAGGGCAAGTTCGCATTGACAAGTGCGGGCCACTTGCAGCAGTGTCATATTAATTTAGTCAAGTGGCCACTTAGATTTTACCACGACAACTACAACACGGCGAGCGGAAACAAAACGATGATGACGTTGATGGCTGAAGTAGCTGCAGTCGGTAGACGTGAAAATGGCACTCGCCTCCAGCCTGTGTTTGTGCGATTTGCATAACTGCATGGATATTAGTTGGCTAAAATGTCAGCGACTTTTGTCAGCCACTGCCACTGCCACAGCCACAGCCACAGTCACGGCAATAGCTATAATCACTGTTACAGTCAAAGTCAAAGCAACAAAGCGACGCCAAGTTGCTTGGAGGAGGCGCAGAGTGGTTTTGTGTAACCACCGAGCCACTATAATCCACCACGGGCGGCTCTAATGATTACAAATTGCCAGCGGCATTTTAATAACCGCGCGACCGCAAAACAATATATAAAAATCACACAATAAACAAAGCGCGCACAAAGGCTGTGAAATGAAAAAGCGCCGGGATAAGGCTGGCAAATCGTCTAAATGCGGCTTAAATGCATTGCTGCGATTAATATTAATTTCAAACAGTGCAGCGCAGCGCAGCACAGCACTGCGCTCAGTTGGAGGCCGTCCAACAACGCCATGCTGCATGTGCAACAGAGTCGTCAAGGCAGCCGCAGACACCGCTGATGAAGAAGAAGTTGACGTTCTGGCGGCAGCTGCTCCTGCTCTTGCTCTTGCTCCTGCTCCGACTCCTGTTACTGCCACTGCCACATGCAGCAGCCGCCAAGATGATGACAATGGCAATGGCGCACATCATGCGCATCATTAGCCAGCGCCGGAGCCAACCTCGAGGCATCAGGTTGCTTACCCAACAGCAGTAGGCGGGGGCACAGGCGTCGTTCATACTCTAACAATTGCGCCTGGCTGAGTGCTGCCTGCTGCATGATGAATGTTGGCTCGACTCTAATGCTGCAACAATTTCAGCCACTGATTCAATTTTGCGCCTCATTCGCGCAGCTGCGACAGCAATCGCATTGACACTTAGTTATGTGCTGTATCACACAATCCATTTGCGATTCCATTTCCACAGTTAGTCCAGACACAGCTCGCGGTTCCGGATGCTAATTGCTAACTACGAGCTGTAAGCCGGAGCAGTGGCAATTAAATTTGTAGGCACGGCGCAGTGCTGGCCTGATACGACTCGGCAACATTACTAATTTGCGGCATTTCGACTGAAACGCAAACAACAATAATTAAAAGCACTGAAATACGCACGCACATCGGAGGACACACACAGCCACGCACACACAGAAAGAGAGAGAAAGACACACCTCTCATTTTCACATTTGCATATTCATATTAATTTGAATTTTCATTAGTTGCTTCTGCTACCTTTTGATGGGAAACTATCAAGTTCATGGGTATAATTACCAACGCCAGCCCGCAAAATCCTTCAGCGAGGATGCCTGCGCTCCTGCGCCTCTCCTGCCAGCAATTTTCGTTTTTATATATGTGGCCCAAAAATAGATATTTAATTTGACTTTTAGCGGATGACGCGTGCTGCCTGGCCCTCGCCTCTTCGCCTCTTCGCCTCCTACCCGAGGGATTTAGTTACACTGCGGCTTAAACTTTTCATCCGGGGCAGGCTCCGCAGGTAAATGTATGTGATGATTAGCTATAAATTAGGAGCCTGGTTAATGTGGTGCTGGTTTCTGGTAATGCACGAGTTTTCGAGCCGAGCTGCGTTGACTGACGGCAGTGGTTGCTGATGTGTCTCGAATTGCGTGACAAGTGGAAAGTATTCAAATAGAATTTGCCGAAATGTGTCACAGCTAACCACAATTTACAAAAAGTTCCATTGAACTTCGAATCACTCAAAATCATTTCCTTTCACTTTCTGGCAATAGTAATCCGCATGTAAGTTACTCTGAAATGCGATAAACCAATCTAATAAACTTTGTTCAAAACTATAAGCCCTACATCAACAAGTACCGAAGCTATACGCAGAACTTGTTCCTGGCTGTTTTATCTAACATGGAGGGCAGATATCTAAACTCCATGCAATAAGAGTAAGTGTATTGTCGTTGTTTATTGCGTTTGTGATAAGTTTGTTATATAGCTTGTTTCACTTGAAGCAACATATTTAGGATTGTTTCGTAGCTTTTTATCTCCGTTGAGAGAGAAGTAGATAGATTTAACTGCTTTTGAATTGAAGCCCAATCGAGCCTTTCTCTCTATTTCACTCTCTCTCTCTCTCACGCTCTCTAACACACACACGCTCTCTCTCTCTCTCTCTCTCTCTCTCTTATATGCTTAGGCGCTTGTCCAGTGCACTTGCGCTGTGCACTTACCCGTACCTATTCAGCAGGTAATGTGAGGGGGAGAGAGAGGCAAATAAAGTATAATCACTGTATATATGTACATACATTTGTTTATATGTATATATGCATATGTATTATTGTCACCTTTCCCTGCACCCATATTTAAAACAATTTACTTTAGGCGCAAAAGAGTGAAAGAGATAGATTGAACTAAAGCATAATGACATACGCACAGTGGGCATCTATCGGCCAATGCATTTTATAATAATACCAAACCTAAAAATTGTTCAATATTGTAAAAATATCCTCTGAAGAGTCTGAGGAAGATGACGAACCGGAACTCAAATTGGCCATAACAGAAATTTATGGATGTTCCCCAAAGCCAATAGACTTAAACGTGGACATTATGTGCTATTATGAGAACAAAAAGTTCACTTATCCACGATTGTACCGTTTTGCCAAGGT